CGCGCGCGTGTGCACACACACACACACACACACACACACACACACACACACACACACACACACAAAATTGCTTAGTTCCCATCTCTCTGCATGCAATTGCCATTCCTCTCTTTCTCCATATCCATCTTCTGGGTTCCTTGGTTCTGTCTGTCTAGCTCTGGTTGTATGCACATACACGTGCGCCTTTGTTCCCATCTCTCTGCATGCAATCGCCATCCTCTCTTTCACCATCTAGATCAGGCGTTCTCTCCCGAATGCCACCTTCCTCTCTCCCCGATGCCACCTTCCCCTCTCCCCGTGCTCTTCCCCCTTCTCCTCCTTCCCCTGGTTCCAACCAATCAGTCTGATGCCTGGGGGACACCTCCCTCCTGAATGTGTCCCTATTTTGTGTGGTGTTGCAAAACACTTCTATCCACATTTTTGGATAGTCTTGAAAGTAGATCCAAGCCCTCCGCAGATGTAAACCCCTCTGTCATGGCCGTGATGATTGCACACACTCCCTTGCCTGCCCACTCTGCCTCCATTGACTCCTGCCAGGTCATCACAGCACACAACAGCAATCAAATACCATCAGCCTCTCCAGTAAGTTGTGTTGGCAAAAGACCTCTTTACAATATCCATAAAAGTAAAAAGCAAAAATTTAACTTGTTCATTCTCATATACTTGTCGAAAGTCAGAGGACTCATTGTACCTGCCTAACCTGAAAGGAACCTACTGTCTTCACCGGGTTCCCGACCGTTATATCTGTATCCAGACTGAAAAGTGCCCCAAACACAGCTACAATGACCGGGTGTTCTATTCAGGTGAAGACGCTAGCGACAGGAAAGCACTGACAATCTCATGAATAACTGGGAAGGGATCTATGCAACTGCACAATGCTTTTTTTTTTTTTTTTTTGGTGGACCATATGTTGGTTTATGCGTGTCATCCTTGCGCAAATTCCGCTAACGCGCCTCGATCGACACCAGAGAAAGAGGTAGGCTAGCCAAGCTATATATACGTTGGATAGGAAGAGGATTCTCTAATAAGCCCCATTTAATTGGAGACTTAGGATTTATGTAATACTTGTGAATTGAAATATGAGTAGAATGTATTTAAACGGTCTAAGTTCAAACGGATTACTGGGCTAATCTTCTTCTTCTTTTTTTTTTTTTTTTTTTTTTTT